ATTAATTTCGGACAAACTTCACCCTAAATCGGATAAGTGTTTCTTTGTGGGATATCCAAAAGAAACCAAAGGGTATTACTTCTACAATAAATCCGAAAACAAAGTATTTGTTGCTCGAGATGGTGTCTTTTTGGAGAAGGAACACCTTTCCAAAATGACAAGTGGGAGGAAAATTGAAGTCGACAAAGTTCGAGAGGACGAGCAACAATGTCAACCTTATAAAACTGACAATCTAAGTGCTTTGGAAGCAGCTGAGAAAATTGGTCAGAATCAAACAGACAATGTAAATGCTCAACCTATTACCCTTCGTAGGTCGCAACGGCAAAAATCTCAACCAGACAGATACCATGGTATTATCTTAACTGATGATCAAGACATCCTAGTTATGGATGGAGATGAGCCAGCAACATACAAGCAAGCTATGACGAGCCTCGACTCTGCTAAATGGCAAGAAGCCATGAAATCCGAGATGGACTCCATGTCTGAAAATCAAGTCTGGGACTTGGTGAATATGTCCGAGGGTTACACACCCATTGGTTGCAAATGGATCTTCAAATTGAAAACAGACAAGGATGGAAATGCATTGATATACAAGGCTAGACTGGTGGCAAAAGGTTATAGACAAGTCCACGGGATTGACTATGATGAAACCTTTTCACCGGTTACAATGCTAAAGTCTGTCCGGATTATTCTAGCGATTGCTGCATATTACAATTATGAAATATGGCAGATGGATGTCAAAACCGCCTTCCTAAATGGGATTTTGGAAGAGACTGTGTACATGACACAGCCAAAAGGTTTTGTCCATCCGAGCAATGCTGGAAAGGTTTGCAAGCTTAAGAAGTCCATTTATGGACTAAAGCAAGCCATCAGGAGTTAAAATCTGCGATTTGATGAAGCCATCAGCAAGTTTGGTTTTATCAAGAATCCAGATGAATCTTGTGTGTACAAGAAGGTCAGTGGGAATGACATCACATTCCTAGTCCTATATGTCGATGACATACTGCTCATTGGAAACAGCACAAAATTACTGGAGTCCGTAAGGGGCTGGTTGGGAAAGTGCTTTTTAATGAAGGACTTAGGAGAGGCACAGTACATATTGGGCATCAAGATCTACAGGAATAGATCTAAGAGGATGATCGGATTGAGCTAAAGTACTTACATTGATAAGGTACCGGCACGACTCAACATGGAGAATGTCAAGAGAGGGCATCTACCCATTTCCCATGACGTAACTCTCACCAAAAAACAGTGTCCACAAACACCTGTTGAGCGGGAGAGAATGGATCAGATTCCATATGCTTCACTAATTGGGTCGATCATGTATGCCATGATATGTACCAGGCCAGATGTCTCGTATGCCTTGAGTGCTACGAGCCGATACCAATCAAACCCAGGAGAGGCGCATTGGACTGCGGCCAAGAATATCCTGAAGTACCTGAAAAGAAACAAGGATAAATTCCTAGTTTATGGTGGCCATAAAGACTTGGTTGTTGAAGGTTACACTGACGCTAGCTTCCAGACTAATACAGACGACTTCAAGTCACAGTCAGGGTACATATTCTGTCTGAATGGAGGAGCGTTTAGCTGGAAGAGTGCCAAGCAGAGCACAACTGCAGTTTCTACAACTGAAGCCGAATACTTGGCTGCTTCAGAAGCTGCTAAGGAGGTTGTTTGGATTCGCAAGTTCATCGGTGAACTTGGTGTTGTACCCTCCATCAAGGGTCCAATAGATCTCTACTGTGACAACAATAGAGCTATCGCTCAGGCTAGAGAGCCAAGAGAGCACCAGAAGGTCAAACATGTCCAAAGGCGATTTCACATGATAAGGGAATGGAAATCCGAAGGTGAAATCAGAATTTGCAAGATCGATACGGATGATAATGTGGCCGATCCTTTGACTAAACCTTTGCCTCAAGTGAAACACAACAAGCACGTTGAGGCAATGGGAATCAAGCACATCGGAGACTGGCTTTGAAATTTCCTGTACATGTGTTTTAATTAAACTGGTCGTTTTAATGTAAGACACTGTATTGAAACCATTCATTTATGGAGTAATTAATTTTGTGCAAGATTATCATTCACTCCATTACTATTTAATTGTGGTTTAGAATTAAATAATGAGTCCATTCGATTTTTGGAAATATTCAAAACAGGGTATCAAGACCATGTCTTGGATCAAGAAACACCTGTTAAGTGAACATTGAATATTTAAATTGAAAATTATCCCTAATCGAGGTCATCTGACTGATGGACGATTGATGATCACCAGAGATTAATGTGTAGTATGATTTACAGCACCGTTTCTTGTGTTGCAAGGACATGATGGTCATAAATCATTTGCACATGTGTCAGTTCGGAACTGCACTGGATCGACCTATGAGACTACTTTAAGAGATTCAAAATTGTCACAAGTACATTTCTCTTTATAGCTATCGGAACTCGTTTCCTCGACCATGAGTGTTGTGAAGTTTTCTTGTTTGAGAACTAGTCTCTTTGATGTTGCCTAACGTCTGCCGTAACTGGGGATCATAACGGGAACACTCAGGAGATTAGGTCCTCTTAGTAAGAGAAACTTACAATGCAAGACTAGGAATGTCCCCTTGTTAACAATAGGGAATATGTCTTTGTTGTTTACAAGGCCGCTGAATGAGCGAGACTGTGAAAATGCATGGCCGTGCTCAGATGGATTTTTTAAATCATCTTCTTATTGAAAGTCGAACTCGGAGATCGAGAAACACTTCTGAACGTAATAAGGATGACGATGAATCTTACCTTATAGTTCACGAAGAGACATTAAGTGACATAGGAAATGGGCTATACACTATATGCACACTTGTCCGGAAGGACAAGTGAGAGATTGAAAGGAATGGTGTCCTTCCAACAAGTGTATTATTCTGTTAGAGGGTTCAAAATTATTACAGAGCTGATTCTTCAGTAAGGTCAAGTGATCGGAATGCCTAGGTGAAGGCCACTTCCGATCAGTAATATTAAGGTATAATTAATATTACAGCTTAATCTTAACTGAACCCTTCGCGTCAAACCCAATCGAACAACCGATATGAGACGACGAATTAATCCAAAGGATTTAATGAGTTGACGGAGTTTTACGAATACAAACGTCGGATATCGAGCCTAAGGCGTCGAGACCGAGCGTCGCAAAATCACAAGCAACAAGTACGAGCATAGCCGTAGCTAGGCTAGGCTAGCTCATCGCAAGCCTAGGCGCACCATGTGTGTGCTAGGCGCACCATGGTGTGCTAGGCGCGCCATGCGTGCTAGGTGCACTAGGCTGCCCATCGCAGTACCACCTGCGTGTGTGCGTGCCTTCGCATGGCACTACAACACCGCAGCGTGCGTGCATGGGTGCCTAGACACTATCGCAGCACTATCAACCCAAGCAAATCACCCTTGTTTGTGTGCATGTGCGTAGACACCATCACAGGCCACGCACCAAGCAAAGCACCCTTGTGCTTGAGTGCGTAGGCACCATCGCAGCAGCAGCCTCGCACAGCAGCACCATGCTAGGCCTTGTGTGCGTGTGCGTGTGCTTATGCCTAGGGCCATCACAAGCCATCGCAGCATCACATCACCAAGCTTCACATGCTTGTGCGTGTGGCTGGAAAGGCGATGCCTAGCATGTGTTGCTTGCTAGCAGCACGCATGCTCGGAAGTGCGAAGGGGGCATTGCGTGTGCGTGTGCGATGGCGAGACAAGCAAGGGCCAGCGCTAGCAGCTAGCAGCGCATAGCACTAGCACTAGCACTAGCACGCAGCAGCAGCACAAGCATCGCCCATTACAGCACGCATATGCTGGCTGGGGTAATGCGTGCCTAGCTGGCTGCCAGCCCAGCAGCCCTCCTAGGCCGGTTTTGTGAGGGTAGGGACCAAGGGTTTGGAGCATGCCTTGGGGAGCAAGGCAATGGTCGCCCCCAAGGTTCATGGTCCTCACCTAACTCTCTCTCTCCCCTTGACACTTGTTGCATTGTGATTGCATTTAATTAATTATTTAATTTAGAATTAAATAAATTAATGCTTGTGCACATGATCCCACATTGATCATGAAATGGGATTTAAGTTCCCATTCTCTATAAATACCCACTTGGTTGGGATTTTTTAGAACAACACTTGAGTGGAAAAGTAAAGGCAACTCCATTGTTGAGTATACCTTGAAATTCGTAAAACTCCAAGTTTATATTTGTCCGGGCCTCGACTAACCTTCGAGGCTTAGGACGCTCGGATCGGGTTCGAGGGTACGATCCCGTTGGAGACCTCGTATTTTCGGGGTTCAAGTACGAGCTCATAGTTGAGCGAAGCACGCGTCAAAAGTATAATCTTTTATCCTTAATTATGTTCTAATTATGTTTTGCTTGTTAATTGTGTTTATTATGGGGACGGGTCTTGGTGGGTTTCTTTCCGCGTAGTGTGGGTCACTACAAAACCCTACAGCGGTATCAGAGCCACGCTCCTTTTAATTTTTGCAGTTATTTATTAATTAAGGTGTTTTAAAGTAAGATTTATTTTCTGGTTTTGCTTTTCTAATTGGATTTAAACCTCGTTTTAATTAATTTTAAAACTCGTATTATTATCAATTTGGCTGTTGAACCCAGATTTTGGCACAAAAATAGTGACTTTTAGGTGGAATCGACATTCTGAAACAGATTCAACCCTTTAAAAGGACTCTCTAGAAGCCAAATTCGAACCAGAAACCCAAGTTTTTTGGGTTTTTTCATTTTTCAACGAAAATTTTAAATCTTTTTAAGCCTTGATTAATGCAAGCATTACAATGTTAAATTAAATGCATTATTTCATCCCTAATCTACTGCTATTTTAATTATCCTTAAGCATAACTATGGAGTTATAATTAGTGCTTGAGTTGATATGCTATTTGTCACACAAACTTTTTTTTCACAATTATGCAAATAAATTTGATGTGAATGTGTAATTTTAAGTTCCCAAGTATGTTAAAGTTCTAATCTTTAAAAGTTTAAATGATTGGAACTCTAACCCTAACTTCCATATTGAAACTATTAGCAATTGGATTGCTTACTTTAAGATATTTAATGATTAAGAAGTTTGCCAGACCCAGATTGTTGTGCTCGCAGCCTTGATTGTCGCGCCCGCGGCTGGCCATATCCCAGCCATCTCCAGAATCTGCTTCATAGCTCAGTAACCCCCTGTCCGCGCCCGCGGCTAGCTAGAGTAGCGCGCCCTCTCCTTTGCAGCATCTCCTCTTACCTTGACGAGCCTCCTTAGCAACTCCACTTCGTCTAGCAATCCAAAATTCACCCACGAGTGCTAAGAGCTATCAAAACACACAAATAGAAGGTAAAAAGTAGAAGAAAATATAAAAGGAAACAGAAAACACGAGAGGGATCTAAAGTAACTAAAATAGGAGTAAAAATGGTAAGAAAAGGTGCAAACAAGTGACAAATCGAGGGAATTCACTAGTGAAAGAGGTTGGGTGGTGGCATAATTGCTACTCATCATGACCTCGCCTAGCCTAGCACTTGCATGGCTAGGCCTATACGAGGCTATGGCTAGGCTCAAACTTGTCTCTTGTTTGATTTCACGTCTCGTCGAATTCTAAATTCGACTTGACTTGCGATGACGCTCTAAGCTCGATATCCGACGTCTTTGTTCGTAATACTCTAATGACTCATCTAATCCTTTGGATTGATTCGTCGATTCGGATCGGTTATTCGATTGGGATGCGACCTGAAGGGTTCAGTCAAGATTAAGCCGTAATATTAATTATGCATTAATATTACTGATCGAAAGCGACCTCCACCTAGGCATTTCGATCAATTGACCTCACTAAAGAATTAGCTTTCGATTAATTTCGAACCCTCTATCAGAATAATAAACTTGTTGGAAAGACACCATTCCTTTCAACTATTGTGGCTAACCAAAGAACGACCAACTCAGGCTTTGACATTTTACCCAAATCTTGCTTGGGGAATTTCGAATACCCCAAGAGCCTATGCAAGATATGAAGAGAAGGTTGGTATATGTCACTAGCAAGAGAGTAGCGAACACCATATTGTTCTTTATACGAAATAGCATTCCACCAAGGAAACTCCGCATACCCATTAATATGCTCATGCTCGGGAAATAGAAGATCGGCATCGGGATTAAAATCAAGTGCTTCATTGAATTCTCGAAGGGAAAAAGTATGGGGGACATTGAAAAGTTGAAAGGAGATTTCAAAGTCGGTATCACCTATTGGAGTGGTAGAAAAAGAAGTAAGGAACTTCCTTGTTGGCTCGACATATGTTCGATAGGCGGTGTTGACAAATGTGCCTATCCGAAGATTTCTAGAGAGCATCCACAAATCCTCGTTAATGCCCAACTCAATCATGTCTTGTCTACAATAACGGCGAGAGGGTCTAAGGAGTCTCTTTTTGATGTCGGCACAGATTGGCTTCTGTGATGGGTTGATGAATTTTAGAGTTGGAAGAGGTAAGGGTTCATTGGAGTTGTGGGTTTGTGTTGAGGTTCTTGTTGTGGTTCCTCAATTCAAACTTGGGGCTCCTTCCTTTTTCCTCCTCTTTGATTTCAAAGACCTCAACACTCTTGACATTATTACTAACCAAAATGATGACCAATCAACACAAATAGGCAATCACAATCACCACCAATGACCAATACTATCAACACCACAATGCAACCACACCAACCAAACAAGTGAATACCAACTTCAAACTTTCACCACAATTCACCAAAAAGGGACAGTAATGCTAAACAATCAACAACAGTCAAAAGTTAAGCATTAAACATTAGTAAACAACAACATGAATCAATATTAGACCACAGAGATAATATTAGTACTATTACCTTATATATTTGGAGTTAGCTTATGCACAGGGTACTCATTTATCAGGATCATATTACCTCCATTCACAATTTCAGTGTCAGGGAAAAATCATCCTCAATTACTTCATTGTTTAGTCCAGAACTCATTTCATCCTTTTCTTAAACCATAACCAGCTCTACTGTGTTTCTTTTACCTGCATCAGTTGTCAATAAGTCAGGTTGCTGCGATAATCAACACACATCAATTCCACAATCTGAATAGAATTAAACCGCGTTCAAAGTGGGGCCTTAAATTACTTCATTCCTGGTTGCTTGTCTAAAATACACTTTTATGATCTTATTAAAATAATGACGTTTCACTAAAATGTGATTCCAAAATCATGAGAATAAATCTATAAAATTTTATAAGATACATCTAACTATTCTTTTCATGCTCTAAATAAGCTATTGTAGTTAACTAGCTGTAAACTTAAAAAGTCAAGCCTAAACAATCAATTATGAACAAGGAGAGTAATTGGTTCATACGAAATCGATGTAATAGTCCGATTAAACATTACACTTAGAATTTACACCAAATATTGTAAAAATTCAGAAATCAAGCCTAAAATTATATCAAAAACCTCAAAACTCATAGAATATTTATTATCTTGCATTCATACGAAATTGATGCAATAATCTACTCAAACATTACACTCAAAATTTACACAAAAAAATAGTAAAAATTAGACTCAAAAATCAAATAATCACAAACTTACACTAAGAAATAATTAGATATTATTAATTTTGACTAAATCACACTATGAACTACCAAAAATCAATTAACAACTAGAGCAATCAATGTGAGTAATCAATTAACTAAAATTGATCCAATGCGACAAACTTTAGATTAATGGAATTATAAAAAAATGCAAATTAAACTACCCAAAATCGAAAAAAATATACAGAAAAGGCAGTAAACTTGCACAATAATCACAACTTCACAAGAATATGAATGCAAAATGCAATTTGAATCAACAGCAAAAAAATTACCAATAAGAATCTCAGATGCGAAGAACCTTAATATAGGAAAGATTAAACAACTAAATAAATTGAGTAGCAATAATCAGTGAATCGATTAGCGATAATTAGCAAATCGATTAACAACTACTGTAATAAAATCAAATAAACAAGCAATTTAACCTAGGCAATCAAAAAACAAAAACAAGGAAAGAGGTGGAAGAACTTACCTTCAACTAAATTGATTTTGAATCAAAATTGCTAGTTGAATGAAAATATAAATTTAATGGCAAGATCAAATTGCATGAAAAAAATGAGAAAGAATTACCAATTTTTATAGGAGAGAGAATCAAACGATAGAGTAATGCAGATAGGTAGGACCGTAGAAGAGAGAAAATAAAAATGTGAGAGTTATAAAATGACGATTGAAAGTTGAAAATGTTAAATGAGATATTATCCGTCAGATTACATTCGACGGTTAGGATCAGTCGTTTTCAGTTTTCATTATAATATTTGTTTTCACATTATCCATTCCATATATATATACACACACAACACGTTTTAATTGCAGCACTCCAAAACCTTAACTCTCAATTCTCATGCATTCCTCTTTTTTATTTATTTATTTATTTATTTTTTGTTGTGGCCTCCAATTAACTTTCACCTCTCTTAAAAATAAACCTCCAAATAACTTCCACTATTATTTTTCTTAATAACACGCATAGTAACCCAAAAACTACCTAATTTTTTTTTATATTGGCAAATAAATTTCTTTTTAGAAACCCAAATATTACAAGGAATCTATATTATAATTGCACATTTTATTCCTAATTTTTCAGCACAACGCTTGAAACTTAATCTTTAAAAAAATTGCCAAAAATAATACAACCTTTGGCCGGTTAATCTTTAATAATACAACCTTTGGATTATTTTGTAAAAATACAACCTCTAAGGGGTGTTAATTTTAAACAAGACAAAATTGAATTCTCGGTGGATTTTGAGGTTACGAAAGGGGAGAGGATGAGTTTTTTGTGGTGGGGATGGGGAAGGGGGGAATATCCACTCCCCTTCTCCCACCACAAAACCCACCAAAAATTCGATTTTATCTTGTATTATTACTTTTCAAAAAAAAAAAGATTGTATAATTAAAAAGACTGGCCCAAAGGTTGTATAATTTTTAGCAATTTTTCCATCCTTAAATTATGTGCACTTCATTTTTTTAAAATAATATCGCCACTATATATAAGTTCCACTATATTCCTTTAAAAAATTTCTTCCAACTGTTTTCTTTATTATTTATAAAATCTTTAATTAATACCTTATTATTATTTCAACAATCTTGAAAACAACAAAAATATATAAATCATGTTTTCTATGCGACTAACCACATTGTGTGGCTACTTGCAAATGAACAAAGCTACCCCTATAATACTGATAAATATTTTTAAAAATCATTGAACAACTACCTTATTATTAATTTAATAATTACCAACACCTAAAAAAATATACAACACGTTTTCTGTGCGACAAGCCACTATTATGACTGCTTGTAAAAAAACAAAGTAACCCCAATAACACTTACAGAGTAAAACCCTCTATAACTCTAAACGCATAACCTGTGTAACACTAACGGCGTAATAACCTCTATAACGTTGAGTAGGTAACCCTTATAACACTGACAAAATAATTCTCATAATAGTTGTTTCGGGGTTTTCTCTGTGTCCTTCGGGAGAGTTACAATTCCAAAACTGGTTTCATGGCGCCTGTACCTGCAAAACAACGGAGACTCCGATTGGTGGGAGTTCCGCCTCTAATGATCAAGTTAGAACGTGTTCGGATGTAAAAGGTGCGGAATGTAAATGGGATCTGGAACCTCTTAGGAGAGAAGTGATCATCCGGCTATAGCAAACAGCTTCAATATCCGAGTGTAAACTCTCAAGTGTATTCAATTCTGCAATTAATGCTCTTTGAATATTTGTGTGTGAATCTAGTTCCCCAGGTGAGAACATCTCCCTTTTATAGGGTCTTGAAGTACGTGCCCAATCCTAAGTTACTGAAACCAATGACGAATTGACTGCCTAGGAGTTTGGGCCTTGAAGGCAGCCATCCCTAGTTTGACATATGTCCCTGATTGGTCCACTTTGGACTCTTCACTGAGTTACATGTGGCGGACTCTAGTTGGTCCACGTGGATGACACGTGGAGGGTCTTGATTGGTCCACGTGGCGGGGTAAAAATCCCCTAACCATTTGCCCCTCACAGGGGTGACGTGGCACCTGTGACAGGTGTCACTTGAAGATTGGAGAACGGGTTTTTTTTGTTACCCGTTTTTCCCTCTCTTTTTTGAATTTTTGAATTTCAAGGGTGACCCTTAAAATTCCTACACTCCTATATAAGGGCGGCGCCCCAATCATTTGTCGCACCTTCTTAAAATTTTCAGACATAAAATCTCTAGACTTTTAATAAAAGAACTTGTCATATTCTGAGAGGAACGACAACCGCTTGCTACTAGACCGCCTGCTCTTACAGTCTTTCAAGCGCCTTCGAATTTACAAACTAAAGGTAACCACCTGTTTTTCTCTCGTAATTTTTCTTTGTTTCTTTTCCTTTTTGAAAATGATATCCCAAACACACATGGCACAATTTATATTAGTGATCAGCCGGTCACCGGGGATGGCTGAATATAGAATTAGAAGTGTCGCCTGCCCCTTGCTGGACCACACTTTGCGAACTTCCCCAAGTCCAACTGTCTATGTGTCTATGCAAAACACCATGGCTAGAATCAAACAAACAACCAGGGTGGTGAACTCAGACGGCTCCTCCTTAAGGGCGCCTGTCAGTGAACTATCAAATGTGCCGCCTGGCACACCAAGCACCCCCAATGATTCAATATTAGAAGAATCCAGGGAGGAAGGGCAAAGTGAAGTCTCGGGCTCTGTTAAACAGGTCCCTCAGGCGGACGATAGGTCCGACTATTCTGAAAGGGAACCTGAGACAAGTACCTCTGGCAGGCCGTCTGATGCCTCGGGGGAATTGTACTCTCGGCTGGAAACAGCGAGAGAATCCCTTTCTATGGATAAGGGTGAAGGTTGGGCTGAGCCGGATGCTAGCAACCGAGAGATGTATGCCGCCTATTACTGTCATGTTTGAAAGGAATGGTGTCCTTCCAACAAGTGTATTATTCCGATAGAGGGTTCAGAATTATCGGAAAGTTGATTCTTCAGTGAGGTCAAGTGATCGGAATGCTTAGGTGGAGGCCGCTTCCGATCAGTAATATTAATGTACAATTAATATTACAGCTTAATCTTAACTGAACCCTTCGGGTCGAAACCAATCGAACAACCAATCCGAGACGACGAATCAATCCGTAGGATTTGATGAGTCGTCGAAGTTTTACGAACAAAGACGTCGGTTTTCGAGCTTAGAGCGTCAAGATCAAGCATCCAAGTCGAGTCAAATTTAGAATTCGACGAGATGCAAAATCAATTGAGTTACAAATACGAACCTAGCCGAAGCCTCGCCATTAGCCTAGCCATGTGAGTGCTAGGCTAGGCGAGATCCAACGCAAGCCTAGCATTCTAAGCGTGCTAGGACATGCGCGCTAGGCAAGGCCTAGCACTGCCCAAGCACTATCGCACCGTCGCAGCATCGCATGTGCGTGTGGATGTGCTGGGCGCTGGCAGTAGGCAAGGCGTAGCACTGCACATCACCATCGCAACATGTGCGTGTGCGTGTGTATACGTTGCTAGCATAGCACCATCGCTGCATATGCGTGTGCTCGTGCGTCACTAGCACAAGACCAAGCAGCAGTGCGCTTGTGTGTGTGCGTAGCAATGCAACGCCCTGCATGCGTGGCTCGCTAGTAGCACGCATGCTGGCAGTGGATGGGATGCTCGCTGACTGGCTGCACTATGTGTGCTGGCTTGCTAGCACAGCCAAGGCACCAAGCGCCAGCAAGGCTGCCTTGGCAGCCAAGGCTAGCTGGCAACCAGCTGTCCCAGCAACATGTGGGATACGGTTTGTGTGTGTGGGGACCAAGGGTTGTGGCCATTGCCTTAGGCACCAAGGCTATGGTCCCCCCTCTTGGAATGGTCCTCACCTAAACACTCTCCCTCCATTTTCCACTTGTAACTCATTGATTGCATTGCTTATTAATTTGTTTTTGATTAAAATAAATTAGTACGAAAATGCAATTGTCCCACATTGATCATGAATGGGATGACAAGTTGATTTTCTCTATAAATACCTAATGGTTGGGCATTTGGGACTTCACTTGAGTAGAACTCAATGAGGCATCTCCCATTAGGTGAGAAAACCTCTAAGTTCGTAAAACTCTAAGTTTTTTTGGTCGGGTCCCGACTAACCTTCGGGACTTGGACCGTTCGGGTCGGGTTCGTGGGTACGAGCCATTGGAGGCGTTCACACTTGTGACGCTCGAGCTTTCGAAGTAAGAGCTCGATTTGCGAGCGAAGCACGCATCAAAGGTATAATCTTTTATCCTGTCTTATGCTTTAAATTATGTTTTGCTTGTTAATTGCATTTATTATGGGGGCGGGTCTTGGCGGTTTTCATTCCGCGTAGTGTGGGTCACTACGAAACCCAACAATGTTCCCGCAGGCAGGTGGAAGACTATGGTTGAAAAAGTGGGAAGTTTCAGGGCTGGCCATGTTATGGGACATGGTTACATCTTATGTGTGTCGGATGGTTTGGATGCTATGAGGCAGCCATTCAGGCTAGCCTTAGATTTCCCCTTCATCTGGCCGTGGAGTGAATCTTGGACGGATACCATCTAATTGTCTGGCAACTTGCCCCTAATTCCTGGTTTAACATCCTGGGCTATGTAGCCGGCTATGAATTGTAGGGTGTGGATCCCAACTCTAAGGCATTCGCCCAAATGCATTACCTTAGCCATACCCCAAAATCAAGCGGGTCCGGCTGGTACTCTTTTTCTAGCCATAAGGGCTACATGATGACTATTGGGAAGGAGAACAAATGGAAGGACTGGAGAAATAAGTTCTATATTGTCTCCTGCCCTGATAAAGTGAAGAACAAGAAGTATAACAGGTGGAACCGGAACCCACCTCTTCTAACAGGCGGATCAGAACTGCCGCCTGTTGCCAGGAAAGTCAGGGAGGAGATCCTGGATAAGAGCCTCTTCAAGGTGGTCATCAAGGAAAACGCACAGACTGGGGCGAGAGAGTTCGTTCCCCAAGGTTACATTCCCAAATATGACAGGCTGTTTGATGGGAACTATCTGGCCGCTTGCGGCCTTAGTGTAGAGAGGTCAAGAAGTAGATGACTGAATGTTAAGTGTTTAGTAAGACTTGTTTGTTAATTTTTTTTTTTACTTCTTACTTAACCATTTGAATTTTCTTGTGCAGACAAAGTAATGGAGAAGCTCTCGACATTAAGGAAACCTGCCGCCTACTACCGCTCCCTCTTGGGCAAGCGGTCAGCTGAATAGTCGCGTGCGTCTCAGGCGCCCCAGGTGAACTTCTTTTCAATTTGTCTAAGTCTTAATTTATTTTTTGTCGCCTGCTTCTTACTTTTTGTGGTTTTTGTTGCAGGGCGACTCAGCCAAACCCTCTCCTTCCTCACAGCCGGATCCGAACACGGCTGGTGATGTGACAACTCTTGGTAAACCCAGGAAGCATATGGCCAGTAGGCCAGGGAAAAGCCATCCTCCCCAGTCTCTAGCCGTCCCTGAGGTCAGCCGGCCCCAGAAGGAGAAGAAGGTGGCGGCTGAAGGTATCAAAAACTTTAATCCTTTG